ATGAAATGAGTCGGTGAGGTTTGGTTGTACGTTGTTGTTATATGAATGAATTGATTGCCGTTTTGTTATTGCTTGTTCATCGCACGAATACAACTCGATTTACTGTTTCTGTTGCTTATTCATTGCAATCCATTTCCACTTGACGTTCACATTGAATTTTTTGCTAACGGTATGTGTTGTTAGCATTGCGTTGACAATTCATGAATGAGTGATATGAGGGTCATAATATAGTCAGTGTCTTACAATTAGAACTGAAACAAAGGTATTTTGTGAGTTGAAGGCGTTTGGTGACTGTTTACAAAGAGGCAAAAAGGTTGAGAATTGCTGCCCAATGATAATGAAGTCGCTCAACCGCGTGGCATACATGTTTAATTGATCTGTATCTGAGGGAATTATGCAAAATCGCTCTGTAACATATATAAATTTCTGGAAAGTGAGAATGTGCTGAATTCAGTGGTATCAAGAAACAACGATGTTGCTGAGAAAAATTGAGAGTATTGGTAGTTTGAGAACGATGTTCGTGAAGAACTATGATTGATCACGCTAAAATGATCAACTATGAAGAGTTGGGCGGTATTATAAAATGGCTCAAATACTTTGACATATCATCAGAAACTCTTGAACTATGTAAAATCTTTCGACCATATATAACATTCTGAATGCTGAGAATTTGCTGGATATAATAAAATAACTCGAGTTGTTTGACATAAATCAGACAATCAATCATACTTCTTGAACTAAGTGAAATCCGTCGACCACATATATAACATTCTGAATACTGAGAATCTGCTGAATTCAATGGTACCAAGAAACAATGGTGTTACCGGGCAGATTTGAGGATACGGGTAGTTTGAAAATGGTACTCGTGGTATTCCTGTAGAACTATATTATTGATCACGCCTCAGAGATCAAATTTGCACAGCCTGGTGGTATTATAAAATGCCTCGAGTACTTTGACATATCATCAGAAAATCAGTTATACCTCTTGAACTATAATAAGTAGAATCCATCGAACTTATTTCAATGTTCTGAACACTGAGAATCTGCTGAATCCAATGATAACAAGAAATGATGGTGTTGCCGAATAAATTTGAAAGTACGGGTAGTTTGAAAGAGGTGCTCGTGACGTTCCTGCAGGAATGCATCATCGCTATAGTGATAGCCTGGCTTACGCTCATGAGTGTGAGCCATGCTATGATTTGGCTTTTATCTAGTTATCTGTTATTGTCGGTTTTCAATTGAACCGTCAGTTTTATAATTCCTCGAATAAGCGTCCTTTGAGCTTATAAGATGCAAACATTCTTTCTGCCAGTTACGATTGAGTTTAGAAAACGATACCGTGACCTGACATCAAATATATTCAGTGATCAGGTGAAGATCTTGTTGTAAAAATGCCATTTTACTCATGTTGAATCAACTGCGATGAACCTCAATAGTGTTGAAGAATCATGAATAAGAGATCCAATCGTAATTTACATTCCAAACCTGACTATAATAATTATTACAGTCAAGTTACTATTTATCTCCCCAATTAGTTCACTGATAATCCCCTATCTTCCATAATCTCTGACCCTGGATCCGTGCAATGAATGTTCATCATGGCCTTCATTGATTCAACATCATGTTCCTGAAGATGGCATAACGTCGAAACGTTGACTTAATATTTTGTCAACAAAGTTACGTTACTGATTCTGATTCTAAATATTACTAATCTGGTGAAAATATCATTTGCTTTGATGATTTTCCATAATGCCATTGTTAAAAATTTTCATTCTGGCCAGCAATGTGACCGTATATGTGTATATGTGGTTGCTTATTTACTGATATGTTGAATTTAGCGATAATTAAANAAATAGAAAATTACCTTTTTGAATGATTTACCCACGACATCAGTTTCATAACGAGGCTGAGCCAAGCTATGATTTGGCTTGTATCTATTATCTAATTATCCAATAATTAAACAATGAAATCAGATGGAAAATGGGAAAAAATTTGGAACGCTTCACGAATTTGCGTGTCATCCTTGCGCAGGGGCCATGCTAATCTTCTCTGTATTGTTCCAATTTTAGTATATGTTCATCGGAATGAACATATGTCATCAGTGATACGTTGTATATATAGCCCACTGCGCACGAAACATTCAATGAGCGGCGGGTTGAGAAGAGAAAAAGAGCGAATCTCTCATCACTGCTATTACACTTAAGTGGGCAGTAGCACTTTTGATGTGGCACGCTTGTCTTCAGTGGCACACGTTGCATTTCATCGAAGTGTAGCAGAGTGTTTCTTCGCCCATTGACGAAATATAGAGCAATTTATAATCTGTTCACTCGATGATGTGTTCCCAATATCGGATCGTTTTCTAGAAATCACCTTATTTCAGACTTTTCGATTGGTGAAACTATTGTTTTGTTGTTGTTGTTGTGCACTTCACAATGGCGTCTGTGTTATCGTCATTTTTCTCAAGAGATCCAAAAGCAAGTTTCGCCTATGAATTGCCTCAAATAAGTTTTCATACAGCGAAAGGGATTTCAATGGGTAAATCATTCAAAAAGGTAATTTTCTATTTATTCTCTAAATGTTAATAGAATTTCATTGTTTTGCGTGAAAAGAACTTCGAGAAGTTTCAGTGATCAGGTTGGTGTGAAAGGATAATGTAGAAGAATAATATGCTCTCAATTTCACATTTTTGTTTGACAGTAAAATGACGGAATTGAAATAAATGAATGTGAAATTTGAGAGTGAACCATCCGAGAAGGTGACATGTTTTTGGGAGACATTGGATCAGTCTGGTTCAACTGAGTCACTGCTGAAACAACAAGCCCACAAACTTAAAACAATGCGACATCCGAATGTTCTAACGTATTTGGACAGTATCGAGGTTTGGCTCACTTCGTCATTTTGTCCTCTTGAATCAAATTTTATGAGTTATGAATGTTGTCGTGTTTAAGGTAATATTAATAAGCTNGCCATTTAGGTTGACAACACGTTTTATTTGATCACTGAGAGCTGTGTTCCACTGAGTACCTATATTTCTGAATCAGAATGGACTGCCGCCCAGAAGGAATTCGTCGTTTCGTGGGGTCTTTTCCAAGTGTTGGTGAGTCGTTATTTTTATTCGATTTATCGTTCTCTTTATTATTGGTCATTAAATATCCGTGTACTCCCTCACATGTTTTTATCGTCATTATCAAATTGACATTCGTCCTCACATTTCCGGAAGAATCTGAGTTCATCCTAGTTTTCCCCTCAAAAATTCATTTTCAATTGTTTAAGATTAGAAAATTATTAAATTTAAGATTATTCAATGAAAATATTCGATACCTATCAAAAAGGATCTTCGATAGGTTTCAGTCATAGTGGTTGTGAAAATGATCTTTTATCGGTTGAAATGTTATCCACTACAATTTCAGAGCTGTTTAAAATTTTTGCATCGTGAAGCAAAATTGAGTCATGACAATTTACAATGTTCTGTTTATGTGACAGATGCGGGTGACTGGAAATTAAGTGGCTTGCAATATGCGAATTCCTTCAAGTTTGTCTTTGAATTCATATTCATTCGTCTTGTTCGTATAAGAATCTGATGATTGTTTCTATGTAATTTTTCATTTGTATTTAGTTTCGAGTAATTCAGTCGATGTTTACCTAAGGGAATAGATTGCAATTGTCGATTGAGTACATTGCATAATTTCTGCGTAATTATCTTAAAGAATTAAACATGAACTTTTTTGCTCACGAATTTATTTATTCATCAAATAACATTTCTGTCATTGGCCTTACAGTAATGCACGAAACGATTTGAACGCACTGTCGATATTGTTATGGGAAATATTCAACGGTTTCAATGAGGAGATCACCAAGCCTGGTTCTCCATCGAAAATACCGCAGCGATTCAGAGATTTCTACAAAAAAATTGCCATGCCAAGCGCTGCCCGATTGGATGCTGAGGAGCTTCTTGCAGGTCACTACTTGTATTCAGTATGCTTAATGAAACAGCATCTTATTGTAAATGTCTAATTTCCTGTTGTTTTCTGTTATTCTTCGAGACAAATTGATGATACTTAAAAGTGTACACTTTCTATTCATCACTTCAGAGAATCGACGTACCGGTGGTTTGTTGAAGAATAAATTCGTCGATACACTCTTATTCTTAGACGAATTTCAACTGAAAGATGCACATGATAAGCAGACCTTCTTCACAAAACTGAACGATCAACTGCACATATTTCCGAATGATGTCGCCAAGTATAAGATATTACCTCAACTGATTCGTGTTCGTTTTCATTGCTTTTTGTATTTTATTATTCTTTTGATTTCCATTGTTTTTGTGGTGATGATATGCACACATGTTTTGTTATTGTTATTATTTGTTTATTCATGCATTTATTCATTTTAGTATTTATCCTGAATATAATTCATTTTTAATTTGGAAATGAAATCAGTTAGATTCAATGGTCATGTTAAAATTATATGCTTGAATTTAGAGTTATGAATATGGTGATGCTGGACCGCATATATTGCTACCATTATTCAAATTGGGGCACTTACTCGATGCAGACGAGTATCAACGCACCGTTGTTCCGTGTTTATGCAAACTGGTCTCATCGCCCGACCGAGTCACTCGTGTCAAACTACTCGAAAAAATCGATCAGTTCGCTGCGCATTTATCACCACAAATCGTTAACGAGAAAGTTTATGGGTGATTGTGATTATATTATTTCAATGTTTTGTAATTTTCCGAATTCATCCTTTTGGATTACTCCAAATCTCTCGCAAAAACTGACTTCTGTTGGGCTTGTCGAGGCTTCAATCAAGTGAGCTTTATTTAAGGTATTTCAACGAATTAATCAGAGGTATTTTCCAGTAATCTATCGTCTGGCTTTCTGGACACAAATCCGGCCGTACGTGAAAGTACAGTTAAGGCGATGGTTTCATTAGCTGACAAATTGAACTACCATAATTTAAATACGGATTTGATGAAATATTTGGCGAGATTACAAGGTGAACGTTGTTGCCTTCTTTGTTTATTTATTTGTTGACTTTTATTTGTTCAAATGCGAGATTAAGTGTGAATTTAAAGGGAGTGACGATCAGCCAGGAATTCGGACAAATGCGACGATATGTCTCGGTAAGATCGCCTGCTATATAGACGCGTCCCAACGGCAACGTATTCTCATAAACGCCTTCACGAGATCACTGAAAGATCCGTTCCCACCGTCGCGAATGGCATCAATCCTTGCGCTGAGTGCCACCCAACAATATTACTCACTAATTGAAGTTGCTACTAGAGTCGTGCCTGCATTGGCACCGCTCACGTGTGATCCTGAAAAACAGGTAGTTTCACTTGCTGTTTGTGACTTTATTTCATTTGTTCTTTTATTTGAAGATGTTTATTTTGATCAGTAAATGGTGGTAATATTAGCAGTGGTGATAATTGTGAATGAGTGAATAAATTATTGACTGATCAATTTGTTTTTATGCCCTGTTTCAATTTAGAACGGTTCGAATGCTGTGAAGCATAAATTTTGTGTTGTTGTTATTGTTGTTGAGCAGTGTGAATTGTGGGTGAATTGGAGAATATTTTTTATTACTGCAAGAAGGTTGGATATTTGGTGGTTTGTTGTTGTGAGAAA